AACACTTCCCACAGAAACTGGCCTGCATGTGCAATGAAAGGCTTTCCCCATGCTGAAATGTGAATATGAAAGTAAGCAGTGATGCTCTGGGTGCTGAAACAAGGATATGAAGTGATTCACCCCAGCCAAATCAGAGCAGTGGTTCTCTGACTGTATGGGTAAGAGCAACCTAGAGCAAGTGCACCTTGATTCCTTGCTAGACACAGTACGAAACTGCTATAACACAAATACATCATCCGTTGACAAATTGCTATAACACAAATACATCATCTGTTGACAAACATTTGCACCTGTAATGCAAACTGAACTGATTTTAGAAACTATTTGGAGATTTTAAATATCATAACAGCAATGCTGATCCTTGTTGCACAAACCCCATTGCTTTTACATGTGATATCTGTGTACCTCTGTACAGGTTACTATACAACAAACATAGTTATCATCCACTAATTGCCAAAGATTAGAAATGACAAGCAGAAGAAAAATGAGGAAAAAACGAAAAAAGAGATAAGAAAGGAGTAAATAAAAATGACAAGGAAAAAAGGTAAATTCAGGGAAATTATGTCGCCATGTTCCTCTTGTTTGAGGGTAAACTATCCAGAAAGTAGTTGATGCCTAGACACACTATCAACAGTACATCAAATTTAGGGGGGGTTAAGTGTCAAGGCTCAGTCTTATACAATACAGTGTAACTTGATCCAGATCCAGCAAAGCAATTGGACCAATGTTTAATTTTCAGCTTGTGAGCAATGCCAGTGAAGGCAAACTTCTTGTGGCTTTAAAAACAGTAGATATTTTATTTTCTTAAACTCTTTCTTGGGTAAAAAGGAGGTTTACTACTATGTTAAAATAACTAAAGACCCTGATTGAAGTCCCAAAAATACTTTTAAACATTACTTTAGAGCCCTTACACTGAATTAAGAAAGAATTAGTTTGGCTCTGGTTTCATAAAGTCATGAAATGATCAGCAAAATCTTTACTCAAATCACTTGTCTCATATTTACAGTTATTTTTTCACAGCCAAGAGGGCTCAAAACATTTCAAAATGTGAATACAGAGACTCCTGTGTTGCTAGTCTTGTCTCTGGGAGCTGATGTTAAAAAAATCAAAACAAAAACCTAAGGCTCATAAAAGCATAAGAATTGTTGATTTTGAATGTACTCTGCACCTTGTTCATTTGAACCTCCTGAGGATTTTACTGAGTGAAACAGACCAGGATTACTTCCCTCTCATTCTGGGGGATGCTTCTGCAACCGTGCAAGCCCAGTTGGAGAACCGCAGCAATGAAATGTTAACTCAATGTGAATGAAGAATACCTGCTTTCCTTCCCCTATATCCTCCATACTCACTTTTTACCCCACACTTGGCAGTCTCTGCATTTCATCTCACTTAAAATATGACAGCCTCTCTCTGTTAGAAGCAGTTGCTTGAGAAGCCCTGAGAGGAGATCACTCTCCTGCTGGCTACAATGTGTGGTGCTGAATGGGAGGAAATGAACTTCAGCTGCTGAAAGAGCTTCTTCTGGAAACTTATGGGAACCAGGTCCCAAGATTCTTCTATCTGATTTAAAAGCCCTTTAGTAAAGATATCTATCTAAACATTTTAAAACAGATCTTTTCATTCATTCCTGAATTGAGAATAAAAGCAATCTGATAAAAAAAATACACAGGCTACACGCCAAAGCAGAAGCAGTATTCCTTGGTCTTGGAATATAGTCCTTTTACTGCAAGCATTTCAAAAATGACCATGGCCATCACAAAAAAAAAAAAAACAAAACAACAAAAAATTCCCAACCAAACAAAAAACCCAGACCCAAACAAATAAACAAAACCCAGAACCAAAACAAAAACCCAAAACCAACCAAACAAAAAGCCAAACAAAAAATAATCACTCAAACTATCCTCCCTCCCCGAAAACCCCCCAAAATCAGCATGTTTTAGCAGGCGTTCCTCAGAATAGACTTGACATTTCATCCTTAATTATCAGTTCATAAATCTAGAATTTCTCAGTTGCTAGCAAATTTGTAAAGGTCACCAAACAAGGACATAATGAAGTTATTGTGATTTAGAAAATTTAAAACAATATGAACTATTTTTTCACGGTGCACTGGATTTTCCAGAGATGTTCCCTTTAGCAAAGGGCCAGGAGAAAACCAAAACCCAGAAACAGCCAAGCAGGAAATTCCCTTTCAACCACCAAGATCAATTATCCGCAAATAAACTTGGATATATTTTCCTTTTGGATTAAATTAAATAGCTGATAATGGTTCAATTTTAAAGTTTAAAGTATTCAAAAGTAACACAAGCTTTAGGAGGATCGGGGAAGGACCATGAATTTATAAGACAGCTCAAACACATTCCCCATCAAAGGAATCACAACTTCTTGAGGAGCTACCAGGAGAAGCCAATCTCCAAACTCACTGATGTAGCAAGCCTTGCAGTCCCACAGAAAACTGTAACACAAGAACACCTTGATTCCTCACTGCCAGAACGTGACTCCTTTTGTTTCCTTTGAACAGTGCATGGCAATGTGCACCTCAGCATCCTCACATCTGAAGTTTCTATGTGAGATTGATAGGAATGAATGCCTCAAAAAAAATTCACTAACTAAAGTCAGGATGATGAACCTTCATTTTGGCATCTAGCAAGCCAATTCTTCTTCCATTTTCAAAATGACAAAAAGAAAAAAAGTTTTAATTTCATTTCATCCCAAAATAATTTGGTAATCCTTCTCTGCAAAACAAGATGAAACAAAAATAAAGTGACAAAACACAAAGTCTCCCATCTTATTACCCACTCATGCATGCAAACTGACAGCCTTTTCTTCATAATGATTCACCAGAATATGCTCTTACAACATAAAACAGAATGAAAATGTCTGCTTTTAGCATCCCAAGTATATACAAAACACCCTCTATTTTTTTCCTTGCTTTTCTATCCTTGCCTTCTTTTCAGTAAATAAAACCAATCTTCCAGTTGGACCTTACAAGACATTTCCTATTATCTGCTGCCCATTTTCAAATTATAACCACAATGATTCTGACCTTATGGCTGGCAAAATCTGTGGGAATTACTTTCAGTAAGAAGGAAGAACAATTTTTTCTGTCATCCTCAATAGCCTCATTTGCAAGGGTTTGGTTGAATAAAACAAAATAATCACTTTCTGGACAGAATTCAAATATCAACAAGATTAATTCAGAAATAAAACTCTGTATTTTGGAGTAAATGGCAGCAGCCTCTGGAATGGGAGCAGCCATGTTACAATAGGTATGGCAGGTATCACTGCTGCTGTGGCAGCAGTGCTGCTCTAACGGGCATTAAATTGACATGATGCAGACATTGAAAAATAAAGTTCAAGTACAAGGCTGTGCTTGCATGGGATGTGCCCTTAAATGATCTGTGTTCATCAATGACAGATTGTCAAAGATGGGAATTAATAAAGCAAAGCTAGTGCTGTAACTATACAGACTGAGCTCACGTCTGGGAGAGCCAGCAAAAATCGTCTTCCTCCTTTACCTTTTCCCTGACAATTGCATTTAACTGCCACACAGAAGGAGCAGCAGGTAGCTCCTCCTGGGCAGGAGTGCCTGGGAATCATCACACTATTAGACTTGATATCCAAGCCCAAACATATTTACATTAGAGTAGATCAAACCAAAACTCAACTTGAGACCAAACATTCCCTGCATCAAGGCCCACAAGGGTGTCAGGTCAAAGATGGTTTGCCAGAACTTTTCATGACAGAAATTAGAGTCTCAGAATACAGAGGTGCAAAATCCTGCTAAAACCATGAGTCATGCAGTTTAGTTTTCCTGAACAGCATTCTTACATTCAGTACCAACAGAGCTGTTCAAAATGTTTTCTGTTGACACATTTGAAGAGAATTTGGAGTTTTGATCAAACTAAACCCCACCTTTTATATTTTTTCTTTTTAATATAATATCTCTTAATACTGTCAAAATTTAAATTTTTTCACCCACTACTTACTCCTCCATTGCAGTAATGGAGCAATTTCATGCTTATGAAAACTGTTGGGTGCTATTAAAATAAATGCAGCAAATAAGTAACATCACCACTTTTACATATTATGAATTAGAAGGCAAGAAAAACAAAATTCAGACTGCAGATACTTCATTTCATCACCAGAACAAGGGTAAATAAAATCAAAGTGTAGCAAATGAAGTTCATTAGATACTTTAGAAAGACCAAGAAGAATTTATTGTCAATTCTTAGGACATTGGGCAAACCCACTATTTTTTACCCCATGAGTTTAGTAGATACCCACACAAAGCCAGAGAGCAGTCCTATTTAAAACAGGGCCTTTTACACAGCCCTTTTCTGATATGAACTGTATTTTTCTACTTTGCATTAATTAGCAAGGGTCATACAGATATCAGCACAGGAGAGAGAAGACAGCTCTGCCTCCTCATTGTGATGGTTTTCACTTCTACCTTTCCAACCAGCCAACTCCCCCCAGCTGTCTGGGAGAAAACATGATGTTTTCATGCAGCTCAGCAAGCCAGGGACATGCAGGCTCCACAGCAGCTCTCATAAACCTGATTGCATTGACTTCAGTAAAGCCAAAGTGATTTTCATCAGCTGAGGAACTGGTCTGACCTGTATAGAACAAGCTACTGTGCAGAGTAAAAGCCCAAAGGCTGAAACACTGAAATCCAAGCACCTAGACATAGATAAGAGGGGGAACTTTTATCTCCTTTCAAATGTGCAACAAATTTCAATGGACTTCAGCACAGCAGGAACATCCATGGTGGCAGACTAGGGCTAATTCATTGGCACCATTGTAGCTACACTGATTTTTTCCAGATCAGGTCCTGTCCCTCAACTTCTGTGGTTGTGGACCATATATTCATGACCTAATCCATTATCACAGCATGGAGAAATGGAAGGAATGAAAGCAGCACAAATGAAGATTTTATCACTTACATAAAATTGAGGGTTGTTATTCTTTATATTTACTTCATAGAATCATTCATTTCTTACCTCACAGATACAAGCAAGCTATTGTTCAACTTCAGTTCTCTCAGATTAGGCAGATGCACACCTGTGGGAACAAAATAAAGAATCACTTTTTGGACCTGGGATTAGAGTAAAGGAAAATTATGACAATTACAAGTTCAAGCATCAAATTTTTCAAGTATTTCTTAGCTGTTTCTGGCAGGCCTGTCCTGGACTTCTAAGAAAATCAATGAGATTATTTCACTCAAAAACTATTTCATTCTTTGCATTTTTGAAACATATATGTATTGTCTGCATGACTACCCAATTACAATTTTTGAACCCCTCACTGGAAACTCTGATATGGCACCTTGCCGGACAGACAAGAAAAGAAACTGGCTTGATGTGTGACTGTTTTCTTTAGTCTGATTCCCCATCCTGATTGACTTTTAACTGAGTGATACCCTGCACAGCTAAGGGATACTTTAGAGTAGAGCATTCCATGACCTATTTAATGGCAAGTAGTGATGGACTTAATGGATACACAGCCAAGTAACACTTCTTCAAAATATAAATCTCAATCAAACAGCAACCACATAATGATCCATAGTCACAACATCATCTTTTACAGTTCACAGGTCCCACAAATGCTACATTTTGCAAAACATTACTTTCTTCTTTTAATTTTCTAGATACAGCTGTCTACCATTGATTTGTACAAGTTTCATACCTATAAAACCCTCAGTATTCTTTTGTTATTGATTAATTAATGTGCTTTGTTTTGTATCCCTGAGAGACATTTGCCTTTTAGATTCACCTAATGGTATCTCTGAACCAAAATCATATACCAAATCCCTCCGAGCTGCAGAGTAACTTAGACACGAGCTCAAGTCTCAGAAACCTTTCTTATGGACAGTAGTAAATGTTTACCCATTCACACCAGCAGAGTTTACTCAAGGCTGGTGAGCATTCTCCATTATAACATGCAACCATGTAGAAGTTTTAGACAAATTGGACCATTGATGAAACATTAAATGTGTTCTCAGCAAATATTTTTATGAGTTCTCTGAGTAATCACTGTCTGGCAAGGGTGATTTACCAATGTCCAGAAGGACACCAGTCAAGTGCTTTGCAAAGGATAAAAAAAAAGAAGGGGGAGTGGGATCTCAAAACAAAGAAAGGAGGTCATGTTGTTCATTCCCCAAAGAGAACAAGAGCATTTATGTCAAAAACATTTTAATAAATCATGTTTTAATAGAAGCATTAGCTACATCTCATGTTATTTTGGAGTGATCATAATGCACATATTGATTTTCATGATGTACTGCAAGTATTTAAGTTCATGTCTTTTCCAAGTACTTTTGAAAATACAAAAAATTCAAAACACACTGTGCCATTTTCTAACCTTGTTTTCCAAGCATTTTCCACAATCCACAAAAACTAAGAACAAATTAGAACACAGAGTCCTCGTCCTGCAGGATATGCTTTCTCACACCAAACAAGTTTTATATGTTTATATGTATATATGGCAACAAAATAATTTGGAGTCCTGGCAGAGAAAATATTAGGATCTCTGTTAATTACTCACAGCAGTCACACTAGCTACTGAGCAAAGACTCCCTCGGATATAAATCATGGCCTAAGAAATTCCTCCCCCCCAAAAAATATCTAGATTCTAAAAAATTTCTATTCTCTTTCTGACAAGGATGGAGAGATTAAATGTCATCCCCTGAAGAGTTAAAGGAAAAACCGAGAGGGCTGCAGTAGCACCCCAGTCCCAGCTCCAGACTGAGTAATGGTGCCATGGATTCAGTCAGAGATGTAAAAGGGTTACCAAGCAAAGACTGATGCAAAGCATTGCAAAGCAAAGGAGTTTTAAGGACTAGTGTTAAGCACAAGATTTGAATGAGGAGTCAAGAGAAATAGAGAGACTTGCTCAAGAAAAAGCTTTTCACTGAATGCACTTAGGGTTGGCTCAGGGAAGAAGCAACTATTAAAGGATCCAAAGAGGCTGAGTGACAGGCTGATAACACAATTTTCACATCTGGTTAGTTCATTACTGTAACTTGATCCTCCATCTCAGATTTTCTTTTGCACTTTGGCGCAATCTATCCCTGGGAAGTTGTACAGTGTTACACTTTAATGTGTGGTTTACGAGCTTGAAATAGAAGTATTCAATGTGTGGTGGTGCAAAATTCTGCAGCGATATTCTGCAATGTATTCCTGCAAGTCTGCAGGTTCTTCCCTCCTCTAAGTTTTATATCAATATGTAATTGTTCTTTGGTGCTAAGAATTCATTGTTCCATTGATTTTGCTGGTTTTTAGAGTCCCAAATACTTATAAATAGATTAGAGACCAGAAGTTTAAATTAGGAAGAGAAAATTGTAAAACGAAGGTGACAAGATACTTATCCCAATATAACAGTGTATTTCTAATTTTCTTAATTTTAACCTTCATGGCATCTTTTCTCAGAGCAAGGACACATGATACTAACATATAAAAATACTCTAAAATACAATAGTAATTATTTCTAATATTAATTTTAGAAGTACAAGCAGTAGATTCCTTATCCTTATTCCTTTCTTTGTGTAATTTTGATTTTAAAAAACAAGAATGGTCCACAGAAATGCTGATGATTGCAGGACAAGGGGAGAATTCAGGATGACGAGCAGTGTTATCTCATCTGTCTACGATTCCCTTTCACTAAAGACCGGTTTTGTTACATGGCTCTGAAATTACTAACCACCAACAATGTACTAGTGTTAATCTACTCTACCAGTGGAACAAAACTAAATGAAAGGGCAGAAAGAAATCAAAGTGCAAGTTAGGCGAATAAAAGTGATGGACACACACACTCCACAACAAAGCCTGAAGTGCTGCACTTCGCAGGCAGGGTAGCAGTGTAGAGGTGCCTTGGTACTGCTGGTGACATTTAGAAAACTGAGTAGGAGCAAAGAGAAAGCAGCCCAAATGCTGGTTTTATGATATTCTACAAGTTACAACACTTCTAACACTTGCTGTTTACATTATGAAGTATTCTTTAAGTAGCATCATATATCTTTGTTTTTCTATTGTTAACAAAAAAATCATCGAGGCTTGACTTGCATCTTTTGGAACATGAACTAGTGAAAAACAAAAAAAGAAATTACTGACAAATGCTTGCATTGGCATCAGGCAACCATCATGCTTTGTTGATCCTACAACACAAAACAGGCATATCAAAACAGGCTGTACTCTTCTACCAAGAGCAACCTGAGATGCAAATTAAAGAGTCTGTTTAGTTCACTTGAGCTGTGTTTGATCAAGCAAGATACATCACTTTGATGCTATTTCTACACAGGCATTTTTTTGCACATTTCTGGGTTGAACTGGGCAGTACAAGTGGAGGTGAGACCACAGCCCTTTCAGGCACACCCAAGGCAGCTGCAGTCGAGCTCCCTGTGATGGGGATCTCACAGAAAACACATCAGTGCAGGGCCTCACAGAAGCACACTGCCCCAGCGCATACTTGTGACTCCTGCAGACCCTGCCCAAGCCCTGCTGTGTCCAAGCCTTGCTCAGCGAGTTTGTCAGCACCAGCCAAGCCAGGACCACCCTGGGCAGGAACACCCGTGCCAGACTCGCTCCTCCAGCCTCTGTGCTGCCCCCTGGCCATGCAAGCACCTGCTGCTGCCATGCTGGCTGCCAGAAAAGGTGTCCCAGCTCTGCACCCAGAGTGCCAACAAACAGCCCAAGAGGAAGGAGAGATGATGGCCCCGCATGAGAAATAGCACATGGCTACTTCTGAACCCTTGGCAGAGCTTTGCCTTGATAAATGCCTGCAAGGGAAGTGGCAATCTCCAGGCATGTAATCAACTTAGTCTGGCCACCAGCAGGCAACAATTCAATAAGGACCAGCGAACAGCACTGTGGGTAACTTGATTTGGAGCTATTAAAATTACTTAGGAATAAGAGGACTATGTAGTGTCTTAAATGACTCTATCCCACCATTATTTTCAACAGGAATTTCTATGAGCTGGTCATAAATGCAATTCCATACCTGTCAGCAATTAAAACTGAAGGGATAAGCTAATGAAAAGGAAATAGTCCCTCTGAACATAAACTGAGGCCTACATGCAGCTGAGGAGCATAGAAATCAACCCCAAGATATGCAAAGCTGGATACAAGACTTGCCAGGGCATTCAGGGTTTCATCTGTCACTCAGCAAGGTGCACTGAAAACAGCTAGAGAATTCAGCAATTACCCCAAGCCCTGCAAAGATTCAGATTTAAGCTCTGGCATGAAGCATTTCCTTTAAATTTTAAAACTGATTGCATGAGAATATTTCAATATTAGTCTTTTCATGTTTTAGTCCACACCTTGTCAGTAAGAAAAGTAACTCTTCCTCCCTATCATGTCATGCCATTTTGCAGAGCCAAGACCTGACAAACTGGACAAGGTTAACAGGATAGTGCTTTAAAGTTTAATGCATCCCAAAGTGGAATAGTCTCAAGAAAAACATCAAGCAACAGGTTTTAAATCACTCTGGAAATCTTCAGACCCTGAGTGTTTGTGTTACAGTCTGTAACACAGGCTGTGAACCTTGAAATGTTTCTCAAGTGAAAACTGTGGTGTAAATTTGGGATTTGAGTACTGCAAGGTTCCAGGTGACTCAGAGTTATGGGCAGTCTTGTAGCTTTTAACACTTTCACCTGGCCATTTAAGACCTTGCCTGGCCTATTTTATCTTTACACATAAAACTAGTCAAAACAATACTGTTTACTGGGTGTGGACTGATCATCCAAAAAATTTGCTGATGATAAAGATGCCCTTACCCCCTTCCACAACTAAGGAATACAGTGAGAGCAAGGTGAAGTGGTTTCATATGTATATAAAGAAAGCTAGGTTTGCAATTCAAAAGAAACACCAAATTACAGAGTAGTCCAGGCTAGAGGGAACAGTTGTAGGTCTCAAGCCCAGCATCCTGCTCAGAGCCAGTTTGTCTGTGAGATCAGGGTGCTCAGGTCTTCATTCACTTGAAAACCTACCAGGATGGAGTCTCCAAACCTCTCTGGATACTCTTATTGCTTGACTATCCTAATAGAGGGAAAACTTTACATCCTGTCACACTAGAATGCTTGTCATTCCAGCTGGTCTGCTTCTTACCCTACTGTTCTCCTCAGGCTATTTCTCCAGACCCCTGTGACCACAGACCAGGTCAGCAGCACAGCTCCAGGAGCAGGCAGCCAGCAGGGAGCAAGCAATGAGCCCGACTTCTTCAACAGCAGCGTTCACAGTGGAGGTGCAAACCGCTCTGCAAAACCCCTAAACATTTAGACCCTACTCCATGTGCCTAAAAATCATCTGCCACGTGAAAAAAAAGGAAAGAAACTAAAGTAAACTTTCTGCCCTAGCCATCTGCTGACATTTGCAAAGAGATTTTCACAGGAAGAAAACTCAGAAATGCACCTTAAAAAAAAAAAAAAAAACAACAAAACAACAGAAGGAAATTCAGAATGGTCTTGATGTTCTGTTATTCTCAAAAGCAGTGGGGACCTGCAGGTGCTGGTTTTTATGGCCCTCAAGGGCCAGCTTTTGGTGTGAATAGTGGGAGATAAAAAAGATGGAAATTATTTGCGTCATGGACATAGTGTTCTGTATTTCATATTCTGTAAAGGTTGCAAAAGCTTAACCATGGGTAGGAGAAGGGATTTATTCCAGTAGTGGAAAGGGAAGGAGAGAGTGATGAAGGTGAAACATTTTGCTAGCCTGTCACAGCTAATGTAAAATGGCATAGGAATGGGAGCACCACTTTTGAGCATAATAGAAATGGCATAATGAGATTTCCTTATCAACTGGATTAGTTGAAACATGATTGAATAGATTATGATCTCTGAAAGAAATGGATGTAACTTACCTTAAATTATCAAGTGCCTATGAGAAGGAGACTTATTCATGAAATAAACAGAATAACCAATACAAAGGGGCTATATATACAAAACAAAAGCCCCCTTCACTGATCTTGCTCAACCATTCTTGACAAATAGACATCAAAAGACCCATTAAAGCTAGTCAGCTTTATGTTATATTAGTCATTTGCATATGATAGTCAGCTTTATGTTATATTAGTCATTTGCATATGAAAAATTATCTGCTTGTCTGAAAGCACCAGTACACAGTTTTGGGGACATGGCTCCTTTTCAGCACAGAAAATATTACCCTGCACTAGTTATTTAGCTTCAATGTAGAAAAAGATGGACTTGAGTGTGGTAGGAATCCACATGACAGAAAATGATTGCTGGTGCTGGGAAAAAAAAGTAAGGCTTTATATTCTCAGTATTAACTCTGCTGCAGAGGGAATTCCTTTGGTACTTCTCACTTCCCTGGTTCAGTGATGATGACATAAAAACAAATGACAAGTGTTAGGGCTGCTTGGGGCTCATCAAAATGATGTATCTGCAGGACCTGCCTCCAGCTCATCTTCCAGCACAGCTCAGTGAGGCTGGGTGCAAAGACAAGCTGCTGGAAGCATAAGCCACCTGATACCAATGGCAATTCCTCACTCACAAGGAAATCTCACAATGGAGAGAAGCTGACCTTTGGCTCCTGTTTCTCTAAAGACAAGAGTAAATGTTCATTTAGGGCCTAGCATATCATACAGGAAAAATTTGTCCAAACTAATTGGCTTTAGACAGAAGTCATGTCACTCATCCCACTGCGAGAGTTTCCAGTGCTATTCAGAGCCTCATGCAAGAAGATAGAGATCAAAGAGTGTGAGGTGCGAGGAAATCCTGTTTCAAGAACTCTTGAGAAGGACAGTACTTTTCACTGGCTATTGGTTAGTGAATCCCCAGTCAAGACACCATTAAGGAAAATTCAAGATGATGAGCAGAAAATAAAGTGTTTCTTACCAAAGTTCCCCAAGCTGATCTCTCTGGTGTCTACTCGCATCTCTAGGGCCTTCACTTGCTGCAGATCATCTACCCCTGCCAAAATTTTCTGTAAAGATAAGCAGAAATATATGTGTACCCTCTTGCAATAAACCAGATGTCACAGCAGCAAAAGGGTCTAGAAAGATTTTCAAACAGTGTTTTGTCAACATATATTTCAGGTCAACATGGCTAGATGTGCAACCACATTGAAATGGACACAGTATTCAAAGACCTTCTTTCCTTGTAGGCCCAAAATACTCCAGTCTCCCAAAACTTATACATTGCTTAAATAGTCAAGGCTCAGGGTTACATTGAAGCTGCAAACCAACAACAGACCTACATGCCAGCTAACTTTATTTAAACAGTATGTCCATGCTTAAATATTTGCACAAGTCTTGCACTAATCCTCAGCAGATAGAAAGTGTTAACTTTAAACATCTCTTGTAATTCAACAGGTGCTGGTGGTAAAACTCAACAAAGCACACTGTTTACCTTTTGACCCAAAACAATAAAAAAGAAACATGGTTTTAGCTCAAGCTACTCACTTTTCTGACAGAAGACTACACTAATTAAAAGAATTATTAATTTCTTTGAAAGTACCTAGGCAATGCAAATAGAGGCCTTCCAAATCCTTCATTATTTTTACAAAATTGCAATAATTGGATGAACGACTGCATTAAGCAAAGATGCGTGTGTGCATGCAGACTCTTTTCTGATCTTTCTTAACATCCTAAAGTCTGTGTGGATAGATACACATTCCTTTACATTTTGCTATGGCAGAGGTAAGCAGGAGGAACAAAACAAGCAGAAGCCATACACAGAGGAGAGAGGGAAGCTCTAAGACTGCCAGTGAAAACCACAGCAAGGCTGTGAAATCCTAAGATGCCAGGCTGCAACTCCACAAGGAGCTGAAGCAATCTCACATTACCACTGCACTCATCCCGTTTCTTCCTGCTATGATCCAATTTCTCTCTCCCCAGTTTCCCTCATTCAGGGAGCACATCCCACCACCTCCTTTGCATCAGCCTAGTTGCATGAATGTTTCAACAAAACAGACCAGAAGAACCATATCCTTTTTTCCTCATGGGTTAGTGGTTCATGGAGGAGTCTGAAACAATCCTTGAAAAATGAGAAGCAAAGTTTATTTGTCATGTTAACTGCCTGAAATTGTTGATGCTATACATAGTGATAAAACTTATAAATTTTCACCTTTCTGTGTCAAAATAATTAGGATGTGTGGCTGAACATGTCCACTTCAAAGAAATGTCTGGCCCTGGCATCAGTTTCCTCTTCAATAATGCAACCAAGAGCAGGGGTTGAAAGTATTGTCACCAACCTTTAGGGCCTTTACTTAAGGTGAAGGCAGAAAGTCATTCATTAACCATCACATACAGGAGCCAAATTTTCTCATTATTTAAAACGACAACTTTCTTCAGGTTCTTTTAATAAGGGAGAACGTATTCATTAGAAGGGAATGTCTAGGATGACCTCTGCTTATGAGTTTTGGGAAGAAAAAACCCCACAAGAATATCCAGTTAATTTTGCAAGGAAAAAATGGTGGTTGCAGCATTTCTGCTCATTAGGTAATATTTTTATTGTGCACAAGTGGCTGCATCTTCCACTGATGTTCCACATCCTCTTACAAAGGACTAAAACCAGTCAGTGTAACTGAGATGGCAGTTCAAAAGGACATGGTTTCCAGAAAATGCTGAGCATTCCCTCTTGAAAAGCTGTCCCCCTCTATAAAGTCTGGACTTGTAGGCCTAACAAACAATATCTTCAACTGTCTTTGGACTATTTTTAAAACATTATGTTTAAAATTATTTTTAATCTTATTTTTAATATTTTAACTGTGATTTTAAACAGGCTGAACATAAGAAATGACTTTCTAAGACTCTATCACCACATGCAGCCACCACAAAATGTGTTTTGCTCTTGCAAAGGCAGCAAACTTAACAGCTACAGACAGCTTTCTCTCTCCAAGTGAACACAAGATCCCTCATGGCAAGGCACATTCTGCAGTAACCCTTTTCAGCAGATGACACTGTCTGTCACATAGCACGAGATTATGTGTGAAACGAGAGCTAGCTGATGTCCTGGCATGAAACCATGCACTCGGATTTGCTGGATGTGGATGCAAGCTCACTGTCATTAAAGGAAGAAGCTTCTGAAAAATACTGTCCTGCTTGCCATCAAAATAGTTTTAAGAGCCTACATCAGAACAGGAAGAAGTTTCAGAACAAGTAATAAGCTCAGGGTCACACACACTGTCAGTTGAGTAGCAAAAGGTCCTGATACCCCAAGGAGTCTTTGCTCCCTTTTTTGTCCTTTTCTCCTTTGCTGTCTGCAAGTTCCCTGCATGCTGTCCTTCCCCTGCTGTATTCCAGACAGTCTCCCTTCACAGTTCTGCTCCCTGATCTTTTTTTTTTCAAAATCCAGGTATAAAACCTGCATGAAGTTATATTCTCTACTTGTTCAGGGTTCCCTATTCCTTTTTTTTCATACCAGGGATTACCAGTGTCACTCCTTGCCCTCCTTCTCCTCTTCCTGATGCACTGTCTGTACCTTTCCCACTGTCTAGATGAGCTGCTCAGTGCACCCGTATTTTGTACTGCAATAGGCAGAACTGTGACTCCAGTGTGGAAAGGGTTAGTGGCTGTCAGCACCAGCTCTTTGAACTATAGATAGCTGCCCTGAACCGTGTGCTAACCAGATGAGACAAATCCATATATTCTCAGTGCCCACCTCCCTGTTCTGCATTTCCAAGAGTCTCTATGACAATCCCTGTCCTTCCATCTGCTGATGGTGAGGAGATGCTGGGACAGCTTGAAACCAATTTGCTGTGGGATGCACAAGATAGTGTAGTACATGAAAGAAATGGGAAATGCTCTTGGGTGGAGGATATGAGCTCATTTAAAGGCACTAAAGCACTGAGACCCCAGATGCTGACTTCAAGAGAGTCAGCAAGCAAAGGACAGAGCAGCAGTTCAAGAGGAGGCTATGTGGGGAATGGTTACTGTGGAAGATTGGTAGGACAGTGCTACTCTCCAGACACCACTCTTGGCATGCTGGTGCACCTGCCTGTGTGATACTTTTCATGTCACAGCTAAAATTCTGACACCAGGAATGGGGACATTTAGGGAAGGACGTGGAAACATTTAAACAAAGCTGAAACCTATTTAGCAGGATCTTCTTCCTATGCTGTTGTTTAATGTGAAAGCATGGGAACCTCCATCAAAACTTGAGAGAAGTGATATTTTTGGATGAATTTTGCTGTAAGAGAAAAGAAGACAATCCCAACACACTGTAGGGGTCATCAGCTTGAACAGAGAAATGTTTGACATCATGTGGAGAGAAGTGATGCTCAATGCTCTATCTCTCTTCATTCCTAGGCCATTCCAGGTCTAGGACAGGTTCCTGCCCTAATTCAGAGGTGTCCCACTGTGATTTCAGGCAATGGCTGCCTGGCCATAGCTTAATGGGACAGAATGTCTCTGCCTGTGCCCCAGGAATGCTTACAGACATGAAGGTGCTGCACATCCAGGAGTTTCTTTGGCTGTTTCCAGCTGCTCAGCCTCCATGTAGAGCAAACAGAAAGGGACCAAGGATCTGTTCCAGACAAAGAGCAGGATATATGCACAGCTATTTTAGATCAAAAAGATGCCTTGAAAAAAACAATATAATTTTAAGCTGAGTGTTGGTATTCAGAGAGGACTCTGCTTGCCACCCATCTGCAACCCTGCAAGGTAGATATTAGTTAGAGAGAGATGTTTCATGAAAAAAATCAAACATCAAAACCTTTCTGGCACATCATGCTCAAGAAGGTGGCCTGAAAGGTTGATCCTGAGCAGCAGTTTGACACTCCACTGTAAATTTGTTTATTTGAAAGGACATTTCCATGGTAAAGCACTGCACAAGTCTTTGAAGACACTTTGAATACAGGGTAAGTAAAACAAAGACGACTAAACCTCACTTTATATTTTTTCACCTTCTTCAAAATAGGAGTAAAACTATTTTTCATGAAGAATCTATTGGTAAATAATTTAGCCAGTATTTTAAAAAGCAAGTCCGTGATGCTTCACAAACCATTCCCACCATGCAAAATGTCTGGCCAACTGGGGACTGTGCACTGGCTTGGAAAGCTTCTTTTCTGACTGACAAGAAAAGCCAGTAAGTATTCTGTAGAAAATTGCAAGTGAGAAACACTTCTGTGCTTGCAGAGCTTCCCAATTGGCAGAGCAGTCACCTGGGGATGCTGGGAAATCCAGTTCAATTCCCACTTGCAGCTATCTGTAAATTCCTTAATTGACAAATAATATCTGTTCAGTCAAAACTGGCACACACAACTGATGTCTTCTCTCTCCCCTAGATTTTTCACATACTCTAAGAAAAGTAGGCATGTTGCTGAAGAACAAGTTGCATGCAGCTGTCAGAGAAATATTTCCAGCTGTGCATTTATTTTGCTGATCCTGGTTAATTTGGCTAAGACAAGAATTCCAGAGTGATGAGCTTGTTCTCTTTGAATACTACACCTGTATGCAAATTCTAAATTCATGTCCATTCATGTGTTTATTGCCCTTTTGTTTTGTCAAAGTATAATCTCTTCTTCACAAAAAAAAAGTTGCTAAAAGTATGAAAAAATATTTCTTCTAAGAAGAAAAATATTGGAAAATTAATAAGCCTTAAGTGATACAATAAAAGGGAACAGAACTTCTTTGTGGCCCCACATGCAAACTTCCTTTCAAAAGGGATAAATGCTGCAAATGCCCATAACTAAAATATTTAGCTGCATTTCTCTGCTTTCAGCATATACATATAAATACACTCTTGTCTCAGTTCAGATGAAGAGATTCATCCATAATGAAGGATTTGGCAGATCCAAATTCAGTCAAATTCAGTTCTTTCCATTCCCTTACTCTACCTAATTTATCAAGATTCTGCACTTTCTTGATGACCAGTTATTTTCTTCAAATCCATTTATCTTACAGCTGTGAGGAAAACTTTCTGCAAAAGAAAAAATGAAACACTTGAGCCACTTCAGCAAGAATCCCATCTGTTGTTCCAGGACCCTCCAGCATTTTCTTTTTCCCATGAGGATGAGTGCATACCATATGAAATACACGCTAAGCTCCTGAGCAACAAAACTAAACACCACATCCGAACATGTGTTCCTAAGTTTGGAAAACACGATTAGTTGGAGCAGGATCAATAAAAAGCAAAATTAGAGAATACTTCCTTTCCTCTCTGAAGATCACACACAAACGTGATTGGGTTTTATAATGTGACAATGTCTGGAAGATCATTTGACCTTGTAAAATGAGTTTCTTCTGAGAAGTGGAATGCTTTTAGTGGAAGTCAGGAAAAGATCCTTTGCAAACAGCAGGGAGAGGACAGGGGTAGATAGAACAAAATAAAAATGTGATTAAAGACAGGTGGCGCCCTTAATTTCAGTTTCTCCACATTTAATGAAAAATCTGTGTCACAGCGCTAACAGAGTTAAAAATTAATTGCCCATTGTTAGCCAGTTTTCAGAACAAAGTGAGAATTTGCTCACCCTGGTATTCTACAATATCTGACAACCACACGTAAGGATTGGCAGAGCAAGGAAATATTAATAGGAAAATAACTAGGAAAATATAGAGCTGAAAATATTAATAGGACAGGTACAAATGGAAAAGCAAGAATGCCTATTCATATAGAGGAAGATTAAAGAGAACACCAGAAAATTGATATTGATATTGATATTGATATTAGTAGAAAGAATAAAAATTGCATCTAATGATACCAACCCTTGCACCAAAAGCTTTTGACCTGTATTTTGGATGAAGGACATTCAAATATAAAAAAATGTTACACAACAGTGCAGCAAGACAGCTGGCAGCAAGAAGCAACTAGAAGATGTGTTAACATAATGGAAGTATGGAATCATCCAGGATTTGAAGTGAACATTATGCTGAAACAAGACTACAGAAGACCATAAACTCTGTGGTGAATGAGCATAAAGTCTAAATGAAGGGATCCACAATGGAGAGGAAGAAAATGGGCAACGGTCCAATGGTTTTGTAGAAGTTGTCTTTTGTTCTACATGATCCAAGAAGGCAAGAAAGGAAAGGAAAAAAAACAAAATCAGTCTAAGCCAAACTTTCCTCTCTTTGGAGGAAAACAATGCAGCAAGTGGATAAAAGTGAAGGAACACAAGTGTCACAAGTTTTAGAGAGTTCTTAATAATGCAGATTGATAATGGTTTCACTACAAAACAGAGAGCCATCCCTCTGGAAAAAGGGCAAAATGACTCAAATGTGCAGGCAGAAATCAGGCTGCAGTTCAAGGTGCCAAATCTACACAGAATCCGCCCAATGAGACTTCACAGCTTCCCCAAACTCAAACCAAACTGGTGCAAGACAGACCATTGTGAAGACATGGAGAAAAGCTGAGTATGTGTCTCAGGAAAACAACATTCCTCAGGAACATTCATAAGGTGTCCAAAATTTGCCTACACAACACTACAGAAGTGCGGTCCATGCCCTTATTTGAATGTAAAACAATTTTACTTTAATGAGCCTGTATTTTAAAAGTCTATTAGTTTCCTTCTCAGAGCACTTCAATGGATACAATCAATAACTCCTAAAATATTCACATCAATAAAACAATCAAAAAAATACTACAGTTATATTGATTTAAGCAAGACAACCTTTCAAACCATTTGACTGTCAATGGCATGTGGCTCCTTAAAGAATTATGCATGTGAAAACTTGTTTTGTATTAAATGTTTGAAGATTCTGAACATTTGCAAATCCAGAGGAAGTAAATTTATGGCAGCAGTGCATATGTTCAACATAAAGGTCAGAGAATAGATAGATGGGGTATGTTATTAAAACAAGCTATAAACACAGTAAATGTTTCCTTGACAATGTCATGTAGTTTTTCCTCTGAGCAGGAAGTATCCCAGCTATGCCAACACAAATGCTGGGTTCCAGGACAGGAAATAACTGTGTCCAGAAAAATTAGCAGGACAGTGTACTTCATTTAAAAGAATATTTGAAATGAGATTCCTTACAAATGTTAAAACCCACAATCTCAAAAAAGGCAAAACTCAATTATTTAACTTCTTATCTGCATTTTTTAAAAAGTTAGAGTAATAAACAGCAACTTCACGGGATGTAGGTAACGTTGCTTTACATACGCTTTTCTGCTTACAGTTTGCTGTGAATTAAAAGCAGCAGAGATTCAGAAAGAGAACTTCATGCCAATGAAAGAACTTCCTAAGGGTTTCATTCAGAGTTGATTGAATCAGAGGGCAGCTGTTTTGGTTACTCTAATGGGCTTTGGTTTGTGCCCTAACAATACAGACTAATCTGAGAGGCTCCCATCAGATTTATACAGGCTGTTGTAGGCCACAGACACATTAGACTGGTCCAATTCTATGCCAGGTTTTAAAAAAAGATCAAGAAGTGGTCAGAGGTTCTCAGGAGCCCAAGGAAAGTGAATGGCACAGACCATACAACCATGCAGCAATTTTTCTCCAGAATGCTTAAAATATCCACTCTGCAAAAAGACGTTTTTGCACCTTCAACCATTTTATAAACACTAAAAGACTTGTCTAATTAGGGAACAATAGTTCTGCCTAATCTACAGCACATGGTCAGAATGGTTTCTGGAATGTGGCTGGGAGTGGCTAGGGAGTGGTGTAAACTCACAGCTGGAATATACTCCTGTGGAAGCTCGTGTCTACCCACTGGTGCAGTGGATACCCAGGGAATTGTGGATGCTTGCAATCACCAGCCTGGCTGCTGGCAGCACCTGAACCACAGCCTTGGCAGCCCCACTGTCTTTCACAAATGCTCCCCAGCAGGAGAGATTCTTCTGAAGGTCTGCAACACAGAAAGCCTCTCTCCCCAAGTTCTGCTCTCAACTCTCCCTTCCTTTAGTGTGGAAAAGTGACGTTGTTTGGTCAGCTCTACACATCCCACAGGATTTCACCCTTAATTAGTCCTGAGCAAGTACAATCTAGTGTGCAACCACGTAGTCTTTCACAAATATTTCACAAAGTGAATTCTTTCATGAAGATTTCAGCATGTGACTCTCTTTCAACAGGCTGCATAGCAAAATCATTTCCCCCAGTCTAAAAGGAACATGGCTTTCAAATATGCTTTGAAATTCCTCCCACTTTGACATGTATAGAAAGTACTTCTATAATTTGCAGAACATTTTAACTGGCTTCTTAGCAGGACAGAGGATTTCACTAACTCAGAGGAAAAAAACTTGTGCTTTTAAAGTTACATTTCCAATCTTTAGAACAAGATTAATGTAAATTCGTTTTCTAATGCTAAGATTCAAGGTACTCCAGATGGCATTAATGAGAACTGTGTAGACCATAATTATGCTACCTGTACTTTTCTTCACACTGCTTCAAGATTCCTAGCAATAAATACAGCCACAATTATGCTGGGATTACTTTTGATAGGAAACAAGGTGAAAGGAGGACAAACATTTGATATACTTTCATAAGACAGAATCTACTTTACTCAGAAATCTAAATGTCAGAGAGGCAACAATCCACAGTCAGTACAATAGCAGTTGGAAGGTTAATACAGCCCTGTATATGCCAGTTTGCCTCTTTCACTTCATTAAAAAGTTGGAAGTCTACTCACCAGTTTCCTGGGGGAAAGATGTTCATCCATAAGCAGCTCTCCATCATCTTTAATCAGCAGACTGGGATTTGGGTTGCTTTGCCAATTCAAATCAGTTTCCTGGTCTTCAGATGAGCCTGGATGAGAAACTCTGTCAGGATTCCACTTCAGGTCCATCTCAACATGCTTTGGACAAAAGGATAATAAGCAGTCGGATTTTTCTACCCATATTTATTATTTTCCTGTCAGCAAAATCTATTTTGGCTAATCTTGCAAGACAGAAAATGCCTGTGGAGATACAGGTTTCTTTAATCAGCACAAACCCAAAGGTATGCATTAAATAATATGTTCCTCCTTTTCTTCACCCTGAAGAATTACCCAAGTCTCACACTCCATTCAGCTTTGAGTGTAAGCTTCCACAGCAAGTTATGTTTGCAGGTACACAAGAAGCTGAGCATGCCTAAAGCTCTGTACAAAGAAGAAAGCTAAGAACAAACAACTCAGGACACCTTTCCAGCCACCTCACTACTCCACTCATCCTTCTCCAGTGTTAGTGAGCTTCCCATCCACACAGGCTGCCTGCCTAACCATTTCCTCTAGAGAAACACGAGCAACACCCAGCAAAACTCTGCTGGACTCCAGAATGCAAGTGCCAGTACTGAGGTGCAACACCACCTCTCAAGCATTTTGAGCTCTGCCTGCAGGTAGCATGGACGAAACCTGTGTTTGCTGTCCTAAATCAAACATCCCAGCACTGTTACTGCCTCTAGGTTAGGCAGGCAATGGCCACTGACTTCTAGTTCTAAAGACAGTCTTGGAGAAAATAAATTAAAAATACAATTGAAATAAAATGATGTTTCCTTCAATTGAGGAATGAAATACCAAATTTGAAGGTGAAACACTTCAGATGTGGTCATTCTTCAATTCCCAAAGATGTCACTTTCACAGAAATATTAACAATTACCTTTGAAATATGAGAGTAAGCATATGTACACCCGTTAGGGTAAAAAAGCAATAAGCTGTACCCAAATGGTACAAGCATTACTGTGATTTATACAGCTATTTACTACTACTTGGCAACAAGGAAGTATCACAGCTGGAAACACTGCTGTAACAACAAAAGACTAGACTGGAGAAAAGCTGTCTTGCTCTGCTGAAGGGACACCTGCAGTTTTGTTCTGTTCTCCACTGCGAAGCAATATTTATTCTTAGTGCTAGAAAAGTAATTAAATGATCAAGCTAATCATAACTGGCTGACAAAGCATCAGTGGTGGCCAAGACCTGAGAATTACCACTTTCCTTCCTCCTCAGACTAATAAACAGTTAAACAGAGGAGTAACTTCTGTTAGGACAAATAAGGGTTCTGACTGCTCAGCTGGTCATCTCTACTTGAGAGGACTGACTGGGTACAAGGTGAAAGAAATTTGGATCAAAAAGACTTCTTTTGACTGCTTAAGTCCAGTCAAAATTCTTCATGTGCACCAGAAAAAAAATTTCAAAAGACTGTACTGACAGAAAAAAACAGCAATGAAAAACTGATGATACACCAAACCTCACCCTGCAGAACCTACTACACTCTGAAGGGAGGAGCCAATCCCTCAGATTCCTGAGTGCTCCTTCTGTACACTTGTCAGGGCAGAAGAAGCTCACAGAAAGCACACCCTACTTTTTCCAGGTCACTGCACCTACCTGGCAAGCACTCCTACAAGAGAAGCTGACTGCTCAAATGTGCTACACCTAAGCCACAGCAATAGTCAATGCCTAAAAAACATGTTCAGGAACAAATTCTTCAGAGTCACAGAACTCCTTTCAATCTTTCTTACTGTCTTATAAAATAACCACCATAAAGTGAATTGAGTATTTGCAGCTTCTAAAACCTCAGTATGCCTATAGTAGTGTAAGGACAACTTCCATACTTCATCCGATTAGAGGGAAAAGAAACCTCAAAAACACTGTATCCTGCATTTTAGAAGCAAAGTTACAATACACAAACTTCTATTACCCGTTTCTTTTTCTAAAGAATTCTAGAATTTCTCAGATTTTTTTTTCCTCTACTTTCTTTAGAACAGGTCAGTATGATTCAATCAGTATAGATTTGCAAGAGTCATCAGTTGTCCCAGAAAATTAAACCATCTTCTGTAATATGAAGACCTTCTGATGTTGTCATTATTTTCCCAAGAAGGAATTATTTTGGTCAATAACTGATTTGAAGTAGACTCTTCTTGTTACATACATTCTGGAATCCTTTGTCAGTTGCACAAGACTTGTGTTGGATTGTGTACAAGTACTGGTGGTTCTAAGATTGTTATTATCCAGAGACAATCTTGTGCATTATCAGAGCCAAGCGGAGCAGTAGTCAGAGAACACTGATGTAATGTGTGAGTGCAAAATGAGATAACAGCAGGATTTTGTAGATGCAGGCTGCAAAGAGTTAACACACTTACATCAAACAAATTACTGTTCTCTCTCTGTTGGGCCATCACCATCACATTTCAGAACATCCTCAAATCTTTGAAACATGTTGATACAGCATTTACTTTAGGCTTGACAAGAAGGAGATCAATTTGTGGCTTAATATCTGAAGTAATACTTTGTTTTATACTTCCTGCTATTGATCTGCTCTTGTAATTATTGTAACATTGGATTAGTGAGGAGAAAAGTATTTTCATTACAAATTGTTCAGGATCAAGTTGAATTATTGTCAGCAAGCAAAACTATTTTTTTTCTATCACTTCAAAGCTTTTTCCAGAGACTAAAGAATATCTTTCTGAACATGGATCAAAATAACATGTTCAAAATGAGATTGTAGAAAAATTAAGAGTGCAGAAATCCTAGTGGTGAGGTGCCAATATTTAATAAATCGCATGAACCTCCGAAATCTCCAGCACGGTGTAGGAGCAAGAAGGGGGCCTGGCATATTTGTCCTCCTAGAGACACAGGAGTCACACTGCTTGTTTTCATCAGGTCCAGCTGATGAACCTATGTCGGATCTCAAGATTTCAGTCCTGAGATGCTGAGCCTCCGAGACCACCTGGGGGGGGCTCGGGAGTCCTGGAATGTTGCCAGAAGTGTCTGGTGGCAGGACTTTAACCCTGCACAGGAGACGACAAGGATGAGGGCTTCACCGGGTGAATGGTGAAGGGATTAGTTAATTAGAGAGTGAGACACAAGGTTTAAGATTTATGTACAGGGGGGTTTGGAGGAGTAAGATGGAGGAATTGGGGTGTGTGCTGTCCTCCTTCTGTTCCTCTTCTCCTCCATCTTCTTTGGCCACGGTGGCACCTTTGGATTGGTTAGTACTGAGAGTACACCGAGTTATAAGAATAGATGGTATTGGGGAAAAATGATAAATATTGTATACGTCACAATGGGTATAAAGATACGTGGCTGCCCGGGAGGGCAGAGACAGTGTGCCCATGGCTGACTGCTGAGCGGATCTTTGTTAGGCTGAAAGAACATCTTTTAGATAAACAATTAATAAACATAAAACCAGAAGGAAGAACTGAAGCCTCTTCTCGTCCTTCGACACGCGGGCTGCCCCAAGGCCACCCCCGGGCCTTCCAGGCCCCTCAAACAGCCGAGATAAACCGGACAAACCTACACCTCTGCCAAACGCACAGGACAAGCCAGCAGTGCCCCAAATGAGTGTTAGGCTCAGTGGGACAGCTCCCAGGGACTGCAAAGCTTTCGGCTGTCACTAAAGAGGTCTGAAAAGCCACGAACCTGAGGATTTCCTTCACGACCACGGTGGTTGCGCTGGATGTATGTTGGATCCATGTGCCGAACAGAACCATTCCCACAGTGCTTTGAGGGACTCACAAGGATGGAAGCTAACTGCACCTAGCACAAACCTGCACTGAATCCAGTGGGACAGTATTGAAGATGGAGGGAGAAGATCCAACTTTCATTGTTCAGCATCGACTCCACTTTATTCATCAATCAGGCACTTTTTATAACAGTGTTAATTCACTTCATGCATATTGCAAAATCTGAGCTCCTGATAGGCTGTAGAGAAAACTTCAGCTCCTCCTTTTGTTTACAATACCTGAAGTTAGTTTACTGAAACCAAGATCAGTGTTCCCACCATGATATGAAAGGTTCTCAAAACCTTCATATCTATTCCCAGACTGGCCGTCTGTTCCCAGTAGCAGCCAAGGACAGAACGGTCTGAGAATCTTGTTGTTTATATAAAAGGTGGCTGAGAACCTTAATTATTTACAGGATCAAGCCTGGGAAAGGCTGCTTTACAGCAGGCTTCTATATTTCCCTCAGCTGAATACCTTCATGGCCTCTTTCTTTAAGCCATGCTTAAACCAGGCTCTCCACAGGACAGCACAGCAGTACTGGTAAGCACATGAGTGTGTCAGGGGAAGAGAAAATGGCTGGAAAATAATGGGGTTTTATAGTGCATATGAACACTGAGAGGAATAAAAGATGGAAAGAAACCAATGAATTAGTTTTTGCAGGATTTGCATCAAAAGTTATAACTTGACAGGCTCATACTTGTGTGGATAACTAGAAGCAAACAGTCATTGAGTGCAGGAGAAATCGATGACCAGAGCAGTGAGAAGGAAGATTTTGAATTCCACAAAGAGTTAATCTGCCAACCTCCTCCAAAGCTGCCACTCTCCTTACCCAAGTGAGTGTGTGTAATCATGGTAAGTTATTCAATCCACAGACATGTTGTGACAGTTCATTAAAAACTGCAGGACACTTTCAACATACATAAATACCAGTAATGAAAACCATTATTAAAATTAAATGATCCTTGGAACAACATGTTATTTAAAATCCCCTCAGAATACTGTAATTTGCTAGGAAGAAATTGGCAGAGAATAGTTATTTGATGTTCTTAGGGTCTGACAATCTGGTAAGACTCCAAGATTTTATTTTCCTGCTACAAGATTTATCGAAGAGTCAGCGACAGGATGGTGTATTCTTCATGAAATATATATTAATACTCATTTCAAATTCAGCAATTGCCAGAAATGTTTGACTCAATATTAATTACAGCTTCTTAAGACTGGGAAAGAACCTCTGAATTGTGTGACTAGGCATGTTAATTTCTAATGGAGCCTTCATGACATTACCTAAACAGTTTATCCAAGCAATTAAGTTACCTTTTGAAAACACAACACCCCCCCCAACAATAGTAATTAATCAAAATTCACTCTAGGAAAGGCATA